ACTTCACATTAATCACATCTGCTGTTATGAAGGACAACTGTAACTAGTTAGAATTTTGTAAAGAATGTGTGGATTAACAGGTTTTCTAGTTGTTTGGTCAGTTTTTGCTATTTTTTAATAGAGAGGTCTTCTCCCAAGGTGCTAATAAAGAGTGTTGCAATGACATCTTCTTTGGCCCAGAACTGGGTGTTAACCTTTTTCATGCTTACTCTAGTTAGTATTGACTCTTTTTTTTCCCTCCTTCTTAAATTCAGGGTGTTGTTAACATTTGAAATTAAACTGCACTTCTAGATAGTTTAAAAACTAGTATCACATTCTCCAGTGTTGGTTTCTGTATCATGTTTTTTTCCATGTACTGTTTACTTCCCAGTGGGGTTTCTTACTGTCTCCATTTGAATGTCATTGTTTTAAATAACTGACTAATGACAGATGCAGAGCCACAAAGCATTACCACTTTAGTAGCACTCTCACCCAGGTGAATCTGTAGTTGTTGTCCTTATAGTAGTATATGCTTCTAATAACAGTCTTGTTTCTGATGAGATTTGTAGTGAGGCAGTTCCCTTTTTGTGCAAAAGTCTGTTGAAGAACAGAATATGACCTCTTTCCTGTTATTGATTATAACTATAGCAGAGAGGGTACAGAAAAAAGTATTGGAACAGAAAGATTATTCAGAATACAACAATGGTCAAAAGTCTACATTTCAGGTTCTCGGATTAATCACAGGTTTCTGCCCTTTAATTCATCCTGAAGCTCTACTGTCTCAGGCTTACTACCGAGGCATACCATTTAGCTCCTGCAATCCAATCTGCCTTGAGACACTCACTTTCTCGTTCTCACTTTATTACCTGCATTTTATGAAACAAGTTCTGCCCACACTGCTTCTGCCTGATGTTTACATCGCACTGCTCCTTCTTTTTACCCTGTGGTGCCAGCTCTCAGAGCCATTCCAAACTTCTGACCTGTTCCAGCACATCTCAAAACTTGCACTGAGAATCTGTTTTTATCTTCGCAAGTTTTAACGTCCATTCTCTTTACAGTCACTGCCACTATTTGCCAAGCTTGTCTCTCTTGTGTGGGACTTACATGTGTGTTTGATAATAGATGTTTTTAATATTATTTACAGAAATAACACATTATTTACCAAGATAGAATTTTTGAGGAGACTGTCTTCAGGTGGTTTAACTGTAGCTGTCAACAGCAAGTGCCAGGCAGCTGCTCACTCATTCCTGCAGCAGCAGGATCAGGGAGAGAATTGGAAGGATAAAAGCTAGAAAACTCACGGGCTGAGATAAAGACCATTTAATAGAGAAATCAAAAGCTGTGCACAATAGGAAAGCAAAACAAGGAATGAAGTCAGTGCTTCCAATGCCAGGCAGGTGTTCAGGCATCTCTAGGAGAGCAGGGCCCTATCAGACAGTGACAGTGACTTGGAAAAACAAACACCATCACTCCAAATGCTGGAATATCCCTTTGGTCAGCTGGGGCTACCTCACCCAGCTGTGTCTCCCCCCAGCCTCCCAGGCACCCCAACTTCCTCACCAACATGGAAGTACAAAAGCAGAAAAGGCCTTGAATCTGTATAAGCCCTGCTCAGCAATAACAAAACGTCTCTGTATTATCAACCCTGTGTCCAGCACAAATCCCAAACACAGCCCCATGCCAGCCACTGTGAAGGAAATTAGCTCTACCTCAGCCTCAACCAGCACAATAACATAAAATTTCTCACTGGAAAGTGTGACTATGCACTGCTTTGTTGCTTTGTTCACTTTCCAGTGCCTCACTTGCACACTGAGGGAGGAAGAATGTTCCTGTAGAAAGTACTAGCACATTGTTGCATAAACGATAAGTAGTGCAAAATAATACAAAAAGTAGCAGAATTATGTCAGAATAAAGATGTACAATTTTAGTATCTAATTAAACATCCAAGGGATGGGAAGGAGGGCGGAAAGTGTTATTGATAGTAAAGATAATTGCCATTTCTTTGTTAAGTCTTTTTCTATATTGTCTATATTTCTAAAACATTTTATATACTGGAAAATATTTGAGGGAAAATAAAGTGAGCATGGGTTGTGCCAAAAAAACCCCAAACCAAAGCAAAACCAAAAAATCCATATACAGAAAAATGAGAAATTTGAGGGAATGTGAATATCGTATGTTTGTTAGCTGGTGGCTATCAGTCTGAGTAGTATTTTGTGAACTATTTTATTAGTATGAAGTATTTTATTTATATTACTTTGTGAAGTATTTTGCTCTAAGGAAAAAAATGTGGTTATTCTATATGGATTTTCCTATATATGCTTAAAGCCTTTCTATAAATACTTGAACTAAAAGACACCAGATGTTGCACAGAAGCTGCTGCTGCTTTCTGAACGTCATGGTATATTCTTTCAAAACCCACAGGAAGTAGCTGAGGGAAAAAGTGTATTAATTAAGTTCAGAAATAGATTTTCCAGCTATAGGAAAATCTCCAAAGAAAATAGCATATGATCTTCAGAAATGTGGGCTTTCTGTCCCAAGAATCTAGTGGCAGCATGCAGCACTGTCACATGGGTATCAAAATTCAGATTTCAAGTTCTTAGAGCTAAACTGGCCTGGAAATAAGCCAGTCTGTGGCCCTTGGAAATGGACCCATCTTTTGACCTGTCGCCTCTGGCCAGATTCTATAGACAGACTTCAGAGAGAACATTTTTCCAGTTTTTCTTGACCTGAAGAAGTAATGTTGTAGTAGCAGAGACTTGAGGGGAAAGGAAAGTACTAGAATTCCTAGATGCTCTACACTTCAAACTTGAAATATGGCTGACCGCAGAGTATATTTTATAAGCTCTAAAACTATGGGAGAAGAATTACAAAATGGGATTTACTTTCCACTGGTTGAGGAAGATTTATGGCTGGCAAACCAATTAAATGTTTCTGCATTTAGAAGTACAGGCTCTGGTTTATTTGTAGTGCCTTCTTTTGCCGTGTTTCCTTCAGACCAAAGCACTGAGAGTGACTCTCTTGCACTAGCAGTAGGTGGGAATTGCCCCCTCTGTCTTTATGCACTGGATATATAACTGTTTATAGTCACATGGTTCTGCTGGAAGAAAAGGGACATGCAAACAAGTGACATTCACCACTGAACAGTCTTACGTGGATCACGTCAGTTGCTTTAAGTGTGAATTGCTGATGTATTGTGTATTGTGTGTGTCATGGTGGTTTGGCCCCAGCCAGCAGCTAAGCACCCAGCAGCTGCTCACTCACCTGCCCCGGTGGGATGGGGAGAGCATCCCAAGAGCAGAAGCCAGAAAAGCATCTATCTTAAGAAAATGACAGTTCAAGGAGGAAATCAAACCTGTATGTACAAGAAAAGGATAAGAATGAATTTATTCACCACTTCCCATCACCAGACAGATGTTTAGCCACATCCCAAAAAGTATAGCTTCACTTCACATAACGGTTTCTTGGGAAAATAAATGTGATAACCGCAAACATCTCCCCATACCTTTTTGTTACCTCAAGCTTTTATTGCTTAGCATGCCTTGAAAAAGACTTGATATCCTGTTGGTCCATGTGGATCAGCTGTACCGGGATGTTCCTTGCTTACGGTAGGGGCAGAGCAAGAAACAGAGAAGGCCTTGATGCTGTGCAAGCACTGCCTAGCAGTAACTAAAACACTGATGTGTTACCAGCTCTAAAATGTTTTAGTCACAAATCCAAAATGCAGCGCCGTCTTGTCTACTATGAAGCATTTTAACTCCATCCCAGGAGAGAGCCTGTACCACTTCTACTCCTTGGTGTCTACCAGGTAACTCCTGGGGCTTGGGCTGCGTGTGCTGTGGTGATTGCTTAGGACAGGAGAGGCAGCATGCTCTGTTGAGTTGGTGGCACCAAAATCAGCTCAGGTTTGGTCACAGGGCACTTGTCTGGTTCTTTATGAATATCATCCTCTTGATTCTGGTGGCTTCTGCAGTGGTATTTCCATAGCACAAAGGTGAAATCACAGAAACAATTTGAATATGTACCCACTGCAGTACCACTGGGAAGAAGAGAGAAAGGTATGTCTTTTTGTTTGTCTTTTCCACTCTCTCCCAGAGAATTCTACTGCAGACTTTAAGAAATCTTCCTGATAAAGGTGTGCTTTACAAATCTGTTGAGCTTTTCCTTCTTTCAGTAAAGAATATAAGAAAAAATGAAACAAACAATCACACAGGAAAAAAAAAACCCTAAGAGAAGACAGAGCTGTATTTGAAAAAGTCTTAGATACCATTCATTTTGTTTTTCAAGCAGAGTGGTGACAAGAACCTGAAAATAAGAGCATTTACAATGTGTTATACCTGTGATTTCCAGTATCAAAAAGAGGAAGTCAGAATAGAAGCAATTCCTTCTTTTCTCTTTTTTTTTTTAATTGAAATAAGATCATATTTCTTCTTTGAATCAGTTCGCAGAGTTCCAGTATTCTACCACATCAAATTTAAGGTTATTTGTCTTTATGGTCAAGTTAGACCTTGCCTTTCAATGGTTTACATGTATTCCTTCAGTATCTGCTATGTCATTTTGCCAACTTTCATGGCTTCAATACTGTAATTCTTGCAAGCTATTGCATTCCTTCAAGCAGAATGCCTTCTACCAGTATGATGTTCTTTACTCAGTGAGTTCATTAATTTTCTTTGCTCTTGTATGAAATATATAAATAAATATATATATAAATGTCAAATCAGTGAACAATGCGTCTGTTATGCTTTGAAGAAAACATAAATCATGTTATCCCTGTTCAGTACCTGAGAAATACCACGTGTTGTGTGATATCTGCTACATTTCTGTCAATGTTTAGGCAGGCCGATTTTAATGCATTTAGCATGACAGTAATACATGAAAAATAAAATACTTGTTAGTGTCATAAGCTTTCTTCTTGTTCAGTTCCTGGTGAGAATCACATTAGTATGTGTTGTAGCATAACTGATACAGGCCTGTGTAAGTTGACTGTTCTGGTGACTTCATGCCCTTGAATTTTTCTTGTGCAGCCAAACTGTACTGCAGCTGAGCGAGCCATGGCAAGACTTGCAACACACCCCACCTTGAAGCCCAGATTTGTTGAACTTAAAGGTATGAAACATTTTATTGAATTTTTTATTTTATCTGTAGCTTACTGGTGTGTTACCTTGTTCATTTGTATTTCTGACATGAACAAAAGTAAAAAACCCACAAAACTAAAAGGTTCTGTAATTAGCCTAACTAGCTGCAGTGAACCAAGCCACAAACTTCAAACCATCTCTATGGCTTGAAATTTATATAGCTTTATATGTGACTGTATGCAATATGACATTTATTTAAAATAGGGTATTGAACAAACAGAGCTTATTATGTGAATTCTAAAAATCAAATAGATGTAATGCAGTGTTTCTAAATTAAATAGGAATATAAATGGATCATTACAACTAGATTTTCAAAGGCACCTGAAAGGTTTTACAAATCTCTTTGTTAATTTTCCCTGAAAAATGTCCTCAGAATCCTTAGGGTATCTTTCCTGGTTATTTAGGATTTCTGTTTTTCTCTTGAAACTGTAGTTTTCCACCTAAAATTCAAATAATGTTAAGAAGGGTAAAGTCTTAGTAGTAATGTCACACAGTTACTTCATTAATAACAGAGCATACCAAATATCCATTTAATTTTATAGAAACAAATTAATATTAGTTTGCAGTTTTTGCACACAAAGTGTACGTGTGTGTACAAGTGTACACTAAGTGAGCATGATTATCAGCTGCAGATTATTTTTTGAAAGAGAAGTTCACAGTTTAACTCAGATTTCATAGTGTATTTTTTGAAAATATTTTCAGCATTTTTCCTTCACTTTTGTTGATACTGTATTCTAAGGTATCTCTTGTCCCATGTAAATACTTAGGTAAATACTTCACAAGGGCATTCAAAATATGCTCAATACAACACATAGAGGTTGCAAAAATGTTTTATTGTATAAAAATAATTCATATGTAGCTGCAACAAAATATTTTTTTGCTCCATGTACAGCTGCTGTTAAAGCTTTTAAGGATGCAAGGAAGAACCCAGAAAAAGCCACTCCTGTAAAAAAGGATCAGTCAGAAGAAAAGCCTAAATCAGCACAACATTCCAATAACAACTTGGATGACCAAGTTTGTAAGCGGCCTCAAAAACAGCAAGGATGTGAACACAAAACAAAACCAGGCATGAAAGTAGAAACTGACAAAGTGGTTGAAGAGCTCTGTGAGAGTGAATCTGAGCAGAAAACTGTGGAAATAGAGAGAGTGTATGCTCCAGAAGAACCTTCATTTCAGGCAGTAGAAATGCAAACAGTTACTCAAAACAAAACAGGAAAGAAACTTGACTATCAAAAAAGGGAAGAAAATATGAGTATGAACAAATTAAATGTGATAAAAGAAAGAAATGATGATAGTGACCAAGAGCATACCAATGAAAAGGAATACTTTGATGATAGTACTGAAGAGAGGTTTTATAATGAGTCATCAGATTCTGACAGTGACAGCAATGATGATTTCTTTATTGGAAAAGTAAAAAAGAAGAAAAAAGTAGCAGCAGTTAATAATTTTTCTTCAACAAAAGAAAAGGGTAGTGTTCAGAAAAATGTGATGAAAACAGAGAAGAGTACAGAGACTGGGACAGCACAGGATTTGATCATGGAAGAGAGAAAATCACTTGCAAAAGCAAGCAAGCTGGAGTCAGTGTTCTGCAGTTCTTTATCTACTACCAATCAGAAATCTCAGAACAGAAGGTAAACCTCTTCCCCATGTTACGTTCTCCATTCCTTTCCTCCTTCATGGCAATGGAAATGTGATTTCTGGTTGTGATTTCTAGTAATTCTTACTAAACAAAGAGAATTTCAGCCCATCAAACCTTAGAACATTTTCACAGAAACTACTCACTAGTCTTCTTAAGCTTTCTTGACAATTTTTTGTATTCATAATAGCACTGACTTACGCATAGGATTCCTAACTAGATCTAAACCCAAATTCAATCACTTCTGAATACTTTTCTTTCTACTTCTTTATTAACATGGGTGGAGCAGTATTGAAGAAGCTCACATGTTATGTTTGAAGTTACTCCCTGAGTGTTTTGGTGATGATGATTCTTTATTCACAGGTGTTTGTAATCTTAAAATTTTAATGAAAAATCTTAATTTCTCTTTTTGTTTTTTAGAAATACTAAACACCAGCCTCTCAAAAAGGAAAGAACAGGTGTGTATTACTTAACCTGGTAAAAGTAGGAGAGAAAAAACATTTTGAAATTTTGTTGCCTCTGCAGTCTATTCATGATGGGATGTATTTGTTTCTTTTCAAGTTTGTGGTACATATTTTAACATTTGTTGTTAAAATGGTCAAACTGCTCAGCTTTCATTTTAATCTGTGGATATTGTCTGCTATTTTCTATTTTTTCATATTAGCAATACTTAACACTGGAAATGCTTTTCTGTCTGTCAAGCAGTTAGCATTACTTGTGCACAGGTAAAGGTACCAGATTGTTATATGTAACTAGTTCCTTGTCTCAAGTAATTTCTTCAATAGTTCCTGAATGTGGAATATTTTATTCAGTTTATATTCTGTGGTACCATTTTGGAGTTCATAAGACTGAGGTTATAATTCCAGTCATATTGAGTTACATTGTGTAACAGTCATTGGTTTATTGTGAAGAAAAAAATTTAATCTGTGCTGAATGCTTTTCTACACAAATTTAGAGTTTAGTCAGTATTAATAAATCTTAACTGCAGCCTACTGAGTGGCAACTTACCAGGCTGCAAGATGAAGAAATCTTGCTGTGAATATTCAGATAACTGCGTTCCCCATGGCTCATTATGAAATTTTTGAAAATATCTACAATCCCAAGGTAGTTTGCCTGCTTTTATGAAGGTTCCTGATGTGGTTAATGTTTTGTTTTTTACTTGCACAGGTTTTCTTAAAAATGAAACAAAGCTCAAGAAGAAACCATTTGCAAAAGCTTCAGGGGATATTAAATGCAACAATAAGAAAGCATCTTTGGAGCAGCCTCTTCATCCTTCTTGGGAAGCAAGCAGGAGGCGCAGAGAGCAAATGTCTCAAATTACAGCATTCCAGGGGAAAAAGATTAAATTTGATGACTAGACTATACATAAATGGGGGTTCTAAGAAAAATTTTTTCGCAGCTACTGTTTGAACATCTTTGTTGTACTGTCCATATCCTTCGCAACCTACAAAATTGCAACTATTATTTACCATTGAAGAATACCGAGATTGTTTAATTCATTCTGCTGTCTGGTGATTAATGTAATGGCCATTTGGTTCATAAGTCCCATTATGCAGTACCACCATTCATTAAATATACCCTGACGTGAATAAAGGGTTTTTAGGAGCATAATTTGTGCCCTATAGGAATAGTACACATTCTCTGGAGAGGAGTTTGGAAGGGTTTGTGGTTGGTTTTTTTTTTTTAATATGTAAAAAATTGTGCTTTGTATGAGAATTTGGTTGTCAGAAGAAAGGTTCTGTATTGTCATATCTCAACTGAGACAAAGTAAAAGATTCTTAAACTTGAAGAGACTTTATAAATTCATCAGTGTATCAGGTAGCTGGAAAAGTCAATCCATTTTAAGCATAATATGAAAATTTCTGGAGAGAATAAAATATTGTGCTTTTAAATTGTGATCTCTGTCCTCTGATTATACTGCCAATTTGAAGAAATGAAGAGGTGTCTTTAATACTTTGTTCTGGTAGTTATGTCTGGATTCTTCAACATATGTGGCTTGTACTTTCTGAAAGAATGTGAAAACGTGAAGAAACTTTGTACATTAAGAAGCATTTGACTTTTAAGTACCAGTCTGACACTGTGAGGAGTTCTGATTAGAATATGACAAAAAAAGTTCATTGAATACTTCTTCAAGTGCTTTTTCTACTACCTAATTGAAAGAAATTCTCAACGTGTAATTAATCTTTAATAGTGTTGTTTATTTAAATATAGATACCTTTCATAATCAAATTAATTCATAAACTTGGTAAATGACTGGACTGTACTATTCATGTAGCATTTCGGGATGCTTGAGGAAAGCCCTGCATCACCCCAAAGGCCCATCTAACCTAGTATATTTGAAAGTAGTTAAAAAATAATGATTTAAGAACAGAAGGAGCACACAGTGATACATCATGCAATATCCATCTCTTCAAGCTTCCAGTTTTACAGCTCAGTGACATCTTGTGATATTGTAGCTTATGGAGTTTAATAATCCTTGATCAATTTCCTTTCTTCAGATTTGTCTGCTCTTAAATCCCTAGAAACTTGTAGAATATGTCATCCTGAAAGGTGTAGATAGCCTTCCTACTTACTACAGTCCAAAAAAGCCTAGTGTTTTTCTGTGGCTCCTGGGCTGCATTAGAGAACGTTGCCAGCAGTATGAGGGTCCTTGCCCTGGACTAAACACAGATAATGCTACATTATACACATCCCATCTTGTGTTAAGTTCTTGAAGACAAAACCTTCAAGTTGGTCTGTTCTGTATTAATATTTGGGCATGGTTTGCCTCACTTATTTAGGCTTTCTTTTCTAAATACTGTGCAAATGTCAGTATATGTAATACTGCCTTTAATGGCATTGCCTCCCAGAGGAGTGAGAAATTCAAACCACCTTCCATTTCAAAGTGGTTTTGTTGCTGTTATTTTCACTGTACCGTATGGAACAGTATTGAAGGCCAAAAGTTGCAAAATGAAGCACAGAAAAATGTTTACTGTGGTTTTGTAGGGTTATATTTCACAGAAAAAGCCATGCATTTACGTGCTTTCTACAAACTTCAGGACTTTCGGATGCAAATGTTAATCCTTAAAGCTTTAAATACAACAAGTAAATAAATCCTAGATGAATGCCACAACAAACAAAGGTTTGGTATGTGACTTCTGTGCTTCCTGTGTAAGGCAAGAGAAATGTCTTTTGGTAGGTGTCATCAGTTGTAACATTATTTTTCATGGACTACTTAGCTTTCTTTTAGCAGATGAGTACCCTATTTAAGGATCAAAAACTTAAAGATTGCAAATAGTTTGAAAAAAAACCTCAAGACTTCAAAGAGCCAGTGTTCTAAAGTGCTTTTTTGCACGTGCTTAAAAGATAGGAGCATTGGTTTATCTTGGCATTAGAGCAAGTTTCTTACTGCATTATTACAGCTGTAATTTGTGGCCACAGAATTCTCCCTGAAGGAAGCCTGACTTATCAAAACATCCCTTTTTTTTTTTCTTCAAAAATACTCTGAGCTCTTACTTTAAAGGAAATAAAACAGATAACATACACTGAACATGAATGAGAGAAGAGAGATTAGGATACTGGCATTACTTCATGTTTTAATGGGTTACTGCTACTTTCTGCTGGTGCTTAGTGACTCACCTGGATCACAACCTTAATATATTATACAAATGAGTAGAGATGGTGGAGACCTGATAATGTCTTTTACAAGTTACTGGGCAATTTGTGTATGAACTGATAAACCCAGTGAGCTTGCCTGGAGGTTGTTGATAAAAGTTTAGAGTGTTTTCATTATAACAGCATAACATTTTCAGCATATATGTGATTTTAACTTACATCATATCTGTGGCACTGTTTAGACAGAAACCTCTCACAAAGTACTAGTAATTTGTTTTTATAGTGACATTTTTATAGTTATTTCTTTCTGTGATGATTAGATTTCAAAATGTTGAGAACCATGCTTTTCAGTTCAGTACCATACCATAGAAGAAATGTCTTTAGCCAGGTATGTACTGTCAGATACTACTAGGCTGCTTCAGGTGCACAATTTCTTCACTTCATGCTTACCAACAAATCAATCTCAGATTTTTCAGTATCTTTTAAGACAGTCATCACTAGTTTAAATGTGATTGTTGTTTTTTGTTAATAGCAAAGAGGTGTATTATTGATGGGACCATTTGGTAGACTTCCAAACAGGCATGAATATTTATTTAATCAGTTTTTATGGAATAATTAGATCAGAAAAAATGGGGCTTAGATGAAAATTCAGTTGCAACAATACTTTCTGGAGCTGCTTTGTGAATGGTGGTAGATCTACTGGTGGTAGATCATTTTGTGATACTAGGCAGGTGATCTAATGTAAAAGTGCGATAGAATGGGGCTAGAAGGCATGTGGGAACTAGGAGATGCTTTATTTTCAATAGATTTGAATATGCTTTCTGCAATTATCATATGCCATTTTTATTGCATTTTTGTATTTGCACAGAAGCTGATCCACTCCAGATTCTGTGCTCTGGGAGTAGCACTTGAAGAAATTCTCAGTTTAAAGCTCTTAGCTTTAATAAGTAGTAGGATAGGAAATACTTTTTAAATAGAGAAGCATTACACAAAGTGGGTTATATCTGAAATAATTCTACATTTTTTTATGAATTTTAAAAGATATTACATCAGTTTCATCTCCATTTACTTGAAGCCAAGAGCACCAGTTAGTTGATATTTATGTGTTTGGTGACTTCTTATTGGAACAAGTCTCCAGTGAGACTGTTTTTAACTATTAAGAGTTAAACTATTTAGACTCCAAGTCTCTTTTTAACTATTCCCTTCTGCAGCAGTCCCTCAGTGAAGGGGCAAGGGATGCTTCACAACGCAGACTGTTTTATCAGTTTAGCAGACAGATTGAAGAGGCAGCAGGACACTGGCTTGTACTCAGAGGATGTAAATAACAGGATAAAATGTGTTTGGAGTAGCTGCATGTTTAATCTGTTAGTCAGTTTTCTAGAGTACATAGACTTCCTACCATGTACTGCTTAAATGTTCTGTCTGTGAAAGCATAGTTTTTGGGACAGAAATTCTGAAAGTGCTTTTTAAGTTCCTGTTTTTACCAAGACAGATATGGTAGGGAAATTGTGTGTCCAGATGAACCATATGCCTCCTCCTGTTAAGCCTTGACATGTTAATCCTTTGTGTAGTATGGGGGGTAATTTATCGTGCCTTGAATTTTTTTATCTTTTGTTTCTACCTTCTTGTCACATTTTTTTTGAGACCGTGTCAGCAAGACAGAATTTTCTTCTTTTCCATGTAGACATAACAACCTTAACTGAAGCCTTCTCACCGAGGGCTGTATCTCGCCTGTGCAGTAAGTGTAATACTTCGACAAGTAGAACGCTTGAAACATTTTATTCAAGTCATTTTCACATAAACTTGCAACCATAATACGGGCAGGTAACACAAAAATATGAAAGTGCAGTGAAGAATACAAAGCTAGTGCCTGAATATTATAAATTAGAGCTCTTCAGATAAAGATGCAAAGTTACTGAAATTAAGACTCTTTGAAGAAAAGTGAAGGAAATAACGAAAAGTCTTCAAGAAAGTTGCAAAAATAAGTGGCATTTCACTGTATCTGTAGCAATTAGTTGCATAATAAAAACCTCCCAATTACATACTCTTTGGTTTTAATTCAAGTTAAAAATCTTTCAGCACCTTTTAGGATTTGGAGAAAATGAAAATGCCTTTTTGGCATAAATGTGAGACACAGGATAAACCACCTTTCAGTGTCTCATTTATGAAAACCACCCTGCTGGTTTTGAATGAGCACACTGCAAACAATGCATGAATGACAATAGGAAGGTACATTTGATATGTGCATTCATTCTGGAGCAGAAAAAAACCGAGTAGACTTTTCCTAACACAAAAACATCATCTACACAATGTTTTGGTTCCATTGGTGACCAGTCTGTCATTTTTGTTACACTTTTGTCTAGAAATACACAAATACCAAATGTATTTCAGGATTAAAAAAATATATATAACAAACCCTTCCTCTAATGAGCCTGACATACATTATGTTCCTTATGTGCAATTCTTAAGTAAAGATCTGAAGTGTGGGAGGTGATTGTTTCACACACATTTATACATTCTGGCTTTTCAGAAGAAATTTGAGACTGCAAGACAGCAAATTCTTAGTAGAAATCCCACAAAATTTAAATCTGGTTGTGCTCCCACTGAGACTAATGTCAATACATTTCAAAGATAAGGGAATAAGCCCAATGTCTGGTAAAATGGAATCCAAATACAATTTGCTGTAAAAATAAAAACTTTTTCCAAAACACTTTTTAAAAATGCACATAATCCCAAAAACATATTCCAGTATGCAAAAAATAAGGTGTCAAATCTGCAGAGCCAAGATACTGAAAATATTGGTTGGCGCTACCCTAGTTAGAACTACTTCTACACATGCTACATAATAAACTCTTCTACTTCTAACTGCATTGTGATTTACTATAATTAGGGTTGAAGTCACATTCCTTCATTTTTTTTAATCCTAAAATCCCTTGGTTTTCTGTTCATGTCTTAGGCAATTTTTTGTGCTATTGTACATCAATGTCATGTCGCTTAACACACATTTCAAAACAAATACAATATTTTGCTACGGAAAAAAAAGCTACACTTTTGTAGCTCCAGTATCCCCAATATTCAAAGTTACAGCATTCAACACCTTTCCAAATGAGGCCATTCCCACTTGTTCCACCTACACAGATGCTCAAGGCCCCTCTGGCTCCTTGCTGACTTCAGTGGAGTTCTGCAAGTAGTTTGGGCACAGATGTGAGAGCAGGTGAGTGTGTCACGCAGGAGGGGTACCCCCTTCCCGCGGCTGCTCCGGCTCCAGTTAGTGCTCTCATATCCCACATCCAGCATCAGGCACCATGAGGTACGAGCACACCACCTCTTCCCAGGAAGCAGCCCATGCCCACAGCCTGGCTTCCATTCAGTAGCTTTTGTGTCCATTGCCCAAGCTGCTCTCCAGACTTTGACCCCAGTTTTGACCTAAGTCTATAGAAAGGTGAATGCACTTGCATCCCTTAACACCTCTTGAACCTAAGAACTCTGGGCTGAGATTTCAGAAGCCTAGACTTGAAACAGGCCCTCGTTTTTGCACACATATGTAACAAATGGTCTTCTCGTAAATCAAGTTTCCAAATTTTGCTTCTGTTCATTGCCCATACTGGTTACAGATTGCTAAAATGGATCTTGCAGCAAACAGAAAGGGACCTGCAGATGTAAATGAAATTATTCCGCACCCTCTCCCACTGGTGGGTGGTCATCACCAGACTGCTGGTTCTCAGGCTCCTTTTAAGTTCTGATTGTGCAAATTCGTAACCAAGTTATGATTAAGTTGGAAATAAACTTAAA